GCGTCATGTTTTTAAGAATGCGAGCTGTGATTCCAAGCAGGCAATGTAAAAAGAAGAAATAATAGCTTAGGCAGCGATAAATAACGGTATGGTCGTTTTAGCGAAGTTAAGATTATTTCTTGGTTCTATTTTGTCTCTGATGGGACATTTTCGAAATAAATTTTAATAACAGAAGAAGGCTTTCTAATTTGAAAGCTGTTTACAATTTAGGACAGAGAAACCTGTATCATGCATAATACCCTTTATGAGCTGTGAGATGTCTTGAATCCGTCACTATGGATCTGATTAATTCAATTTATAAGCCCGCCTTAACCGTCTTTCGAAGGTTTTAAAAGGTTGACACTACCGTCGCGCCCTTATCGCTAGCAACAGAAACATCTAAAGTACTTGAATCCAAAAGGTGAGTGAATCCTCTGTTAAGGTGCAGTAGAATTAATGACGTTGGATTTGTATCGCCACTTTCTAAATTTATCATTATTGAAATCGAAAATTTGAAAACGAAACATGCCTACTTTGTGATCGAGTTTCACTGTTATTCCCGTTTAACATCACGTCGTACCCCATTCAAGTAATAGTTTTGATTGGTTGAGGTTTCATGGGATAACTGAAAAGTAAAATCGAAACCATGGAATAACAATGTAATGAACGATGAATAGGACAATCTACTTTTCCGAACGTCAGTGGTATTTTGTACCCGAATTAACAGCAAAATTTTGTACACGAATTTACAGAGCCCAGCGTGGAAACGCCATAATTCTCTCCCTTGGAGAAGTACAAATATGGAAGTCAAAAATAAATGGAACTATCTTGAATATGCTTTTGGTTTTTAATCGGTCGTCTGCCCTCCTGTAATTGACATTAACACTTGTTCTAAGATGGAAAGTTTGTAAGAAGATATGGATTCTTAGAGGCGATGAAAGGTAGAGTTGCCTGTCATTTATGACTTTAGATTTTGATGAAGTCACGTGCAGTGAAAATAGAGAATTATTGGCTTGGTTACAATATGCCATCCGTCTGTTCCTCGAAACTCTTTCCCCTTGGAATACCACACACCCAGCCATACTGTTGAAACGCTAAACGACTTAACCCTTTTGGGACCAGATTTTCACCAAAAAATACCGTTTAATCAGCTTTTTTGGCTGCCGTGACGCTACATGGGCCTAATTAAGTCTTGCTTAAAAAAGCTATGTTTTACCAAAAAGATAGATTTCCCGAAGATTAGGTACAAAATTGTGCAGTATTTCAATTCGGTGCATGCGCATAAGCCAAAATTTGGACTTAATTATGAGCAATTATGAGAAGTGGACCTTGATCAGTTATAGGCATAGTGAACCATTTTACCACCATTTTTGCACCAAAACTGATAACATTGTTTTTCAATTTGTTACGTCCGAATGTCGTCGATATCCAAAATCGACCGTTGTACCGAAAGGTTCATCTTAGCTCTACTATCTGCTTATCAAGAATATCTGGTGACATTTAAATTAATGACGTCACAAGTGGTACAAAGAGCACGACCATTAATTACGCGTATATGCGTAACTGGGGCTTAAAGGGTGAATGCGGTCGTTAGTATCAGTTTAGGAACATTTTTTTTTAAAAAGACAACGCTTTTGAGATTCAAATACATGTTTCGACAGTAACTTCAATCATCGTCAGTTTATTATTTTATCAGTTAACAAGAAAGTGAAATCAAATGTTACATGTATGTCTTTCAGGGTATCGAATATCATTACATTACTTCGTATGATGCAAGTAAAACAAGAAGTGTTAAAAGGTTGCCACGCTATCCTACAGTCAATAAGGTACAACTGGACGTAAGTCGCGGACTGGACAATGATCAGTCGCTCACAAATTAACGGGTTCTCTGAAGGCAAAGTACCCACATGGAGTAGACAAAGAATACTTAAACAGATCAAATGATAATGCATTTCCCAGGACCAAGTAATTCCCTTCATGTGAGTAAACGACACTCCCAGTAATGAATGTAGCAGACCATTTTGTTTCTAGCACCAAGGCCCATGGTTCCACGACAGCGGCAACTGTAGTATCGAAATCCTTGGTCGACAATGCTGGATAAGGTGTGCATCTGTACGTCATTCGATGAACAGGTCACTCCAATAATCTTTACATCCTGCGGAATGGTAGAAAGAATAACAACGAAGACACCAATGAATTGAAATGCAGAAATAACAAGGGCACTCAATAGCAGCTAATAGTCCAGGTCTTCAAATGTATGTTCGAAGAAGAACCTACGTAATGTCGCTATAGGAAATCGTATGAATTGCTCGTATGTGTCGCGAGTTATAACCACAAGTCTTAAGACTATATAATGCAATTTGAGAGCTTCCAAAACAATACTAGAGACCATAAATTAAAAATGCTGGAGGAATTCATGCATTTTTGCTTAAACAATCCATACTAAAATTTTGATGCGACCGTAAAGCTACTCTGCACATAAAAGATCTCATTAGTTTCCAAAGTTAAGTTCTCTTCATCCCCTTATTCATGCCATACATTTAATCAAATTTATGATGCGTTAGACCGAATTTTCTCTACGTTGTTCCAAAACACTATATGCTACCAAAAAAAACCAAATGACAGCATTGGATTTTCAAAACTGGTACTTCTCCGAGTATTGTTTCTTCGTCTGGATAGGATGCTACGTAGGCTGAAGTTATCCCAAGTTCTTCTGCCACTATTTTTCAAGTTTCTTCAACACCATATTCGCTAGTATCCAGTTAGACAGGTGACGACAGGCTATGTATCTTGGTTAAGCACCCAAACCGAGACAGAGAATGGAGTTCTAAACATCCACAATCAGTTCATAAGTCTTGATCTATCACCGCGTCGTTAAAGAGCTACCCTCAGTTGCGGAAATTCCTGATAAACATACCAGCCCTTCCGGTGTATTAGAAAAAGCCATGGCAATTAATTCTGGGATTAACCCTGCGATGGACCAGCATCCCACCCGACAGGGAGAAGAAATACTCCGGTAACAGAAACAAGATCCAGCAAGATGGGACGCGTGCCCGAAAGGAGGAGGTCGCTTTCGAGAAGTAGTCGCTAATGCGTAATAACACGAATTGTATACAAACTTACTTTCAATTCTTTCACAACAACGTCAACGTTTGCATCTGAACCACTATTGACACCGGTAGAACTCTCCATTTTGTAATGACAATAACTCAGGTTTCCAGGGCCCGGTGGACCTGGACTGCCCGGAAGGCCTTGAGAACCATCACTTCCGCGGGGTCCGACAGGGCCCTGGGACCCTGCAGAGCCATTTAAGCCTCTTTCACCAATGGGACCAGTGGGACCTCGAGTTCCATTGATGCCTGAATTTCCAGGAGGGCCTGGCGGTCCAACTGGGCCAGTCTTCTTACTAACATCGTTGATCTAACAATTGGACGAAAATCCTGTTATCAATTCTCCCTTACTTCCCTATTACTTGTTTCTTCTTTAAATTAATCACACAGTTGCAATAAAACCCGTTCTTAACGTAGAGATCATTTAAATAAAAACTCTTCTTGATTCGGTTTTATGACTTACAAAGTGTTGATGATATTTTTATGGGAAAGTTAAGCTAAGATTAGAACCCACATGAGGACCATAATGTGCTTGCACAGATCCACATAGGACCACATAATGAGATTGTTAAGTTTCATAGCAAAGATGCAATCATTTTTAGGTTACCGAATACCTTAAGAGCACCTTTAGAGTGGCGTCCAAGCGATGTAGCGCGTTCGGTTTAAACTGTAGATACCTAAACCCTATATCAAATTAAAGTTTACAGAGCTGGCTATCACACTATACCAAGAACTTTCCGAAATAAAATGAATTGCCGAATTTGTCACGACCTCTAATTGTGAGCGTCCGAATCATCTATTGGGTCCCTTTAGAAAGCTACAAGGCAAAGGGAATTTGTTCGTTTGCTCTCAAATTTGGACAGTAGCTAGTTTGACATAGAAACAGCAAAACTCAGTTGCAAATTTTTCATTTCTAAATATTTTTTTCTCTGAGAGCGATTTTTCTACGATCACTGAATATTTTTTTATCCTATTTCGAAAATGTTCTGTGACTTTTCAATGAAATTGAATACGGCGAATCGCAGATACGTTTTCTAGCACTTTGGGTCCGGAAACTGAGGAACAAATTAAGTAAGCGTAAAACGAGATTCGCTTTGACTTTTAGCTTTTAAAAGGTGATTCGGACGATCGCAATTGAGAGGTCGTAAAAAATTCGACAATTCATTTTATTTCAAAATTCTTGGTACAGTTTGATATCCAGCTCTATAAGCTTTAATTTGATATGGGGTTTAGGTATCTACAGTTTAAACCGAACGCGCTGCATCGCTTCGAANTCGCGTAATCTTTTTAAAACAAAGTGAATTTAAATGTTATGTATTTACCTTGTCTAAAAGAGACGTGTTCAAAAGCATAATGTGCTTCTGCAACGTACCAAGTTCAATCTGTAGCTCCTCCTTTACCATCGATATCTGAATTGATTAATACAAGAAAATGCAAAGATTAGCGTATCAGAATTACCATTACATTTCCGACCGCAGTTGTCAGTATATGTCAATTCATTGGTGTCGGTGACCATTGATTTTCATTTTTTTAATGTAATTCCAATAATATCGGAACTATGTCGACTAGAAAGAACTGCCACAGTTAAAACAATTTGAGCTTGCATTTTAGACTGACCATTAATTAATTAAGCATATAAACTGAGTATAAAGCGTTGCTAAGTTCTTCTTGACTGTTCTCCTATCATAAATATAGTAATACAAACCACGACAAAAAATGTTCAAGAAATACGTAAGGATTCATAAATAATCCGATGACTGAAAGCTCATAATGAAGGGTGCGGCTCGAGAGAAAGTAATGCTGTGTTAATTCATTCACACTTGTAAGCAACATTCAGTGCAGGTCTTATTAACTCTCTGTTACTTCAAACTATTTCTTCATAAGCAGTGAATATGTCATATCTTTGTTGTGGGTATAATATTCAGTGCTATTATGTTTCCGGAAAGTTCCATTAGAAACTGCCTATGGGATAAAGTTTCTAATAATAGGTTGTACACGTGTAGATGTTAGTCAACTGATAAAAGGCAAACAAACGGTTTCACTGGGATGCTTGACTTTCAGGATAGACAAACAGACTCGAAGCAGTTTTAATCTTTCTTCTTTCGACAAACACCTTCTTAGCTTGAGTTTAATTTTTACGTGCCCTCACCTCTAACTCTGTGCGTGAGAGATTTTTTGCCGCCTTTTCGATGTCTTCGATCAAATTTCGTGACTCGTTTTCCAGCCTTTCCAATCTTTTGTTTGTTGAATTAAAAAAGCTCTCAGGATTTCCGGAGGTGTTATCGCCGTCCAAGGACGTATTTCCTCCGGCAGCAAGTTAGTTTTTCTTGGCTTGTATTTCTCTAATTTCTTGTTTGGTTTCATTCAGACTTCCCCAGAGTTTCTCTGTGTCGCCGACAGATTTTCCTGTTGAGTGCGAAAACAGATACATTGCGTTCCGTAAATCTCCTCAATTTAAAACACATCAAACACGCCCTGTTAATGACGAAATAACGGAATCTGTAAACCAAACGGTGAATCGATGCATATCTGCTGTGTACGAGATTAGATTAGCTAAGGTGACTAACAGAAAACTTAGGCTAAACTTAATTTTACCAACAGCTCAGTA